TTTCTTTCAATTTGATTGAAATGATTGAAATTGTCACTTTTGCGGAAAATCAATTAAAAAAATTCTTTTATTCATATAAATCCATATATTTTTACAATATTCACAATGCTGCACAACCGTCAAAAAATTAATTGCAGGAAGTTGTATACTCCCAATCAATCGTATTTTCTTCCGGAAATCTCTAATACTTACTGCGTACTTATTACTTTAGCTTATCGATTCCGAAATCGTCGACGACAATCCCCTCGGCGGCAACAGATTTTGGGCGTCAGCGGTTCGAAATCGTTTTCGAGAGCAAGAACTACATGCTTGCTGCCCAAGTCGCGTGCTTATGCTAACACTTAGGCATTGTAGAACCCAGCCAGCCTACGCCCGTTGGGATCGCAGATAGTGGACCTGTGTATTATTCACTGACGAATCCTGATTCACTTTCGACAGTGACATACGTTCTCACGTTTGGTGCCCCCGGAATGAACTTTATCGCTATAATTTTATGTAGCCATTCGCGGCTTTCAATGGTGATTCAGTGATGGTATGGGCAGGTATATCCGCGAATATCTACATTTCTAATCACCCCAGGAACACTGTTCATGTTTTGCCCATGTGTAGACGTTTGGGTAATCACTTCATCCTCATGCAGTATAATGTTTGTTTTCATACCATAAGACAGAAGAGAAATTTTTTAGTTGCGATCAACTTGGCAGTTCAACCACTAACTTATGAGTGAAAATGTAAACCCTATAAAGCATATCTGTTACATGGCTGAGCGTCGATTATTATTATTGTTATTATTATTACTATTACACAATTACCGACAATTGACCCAGGCGCTTCACCACACACCACTCACCTACAAATAGACACGGACTCGCCTCCATCCGCGCGCAACCCACACGCACAAGCTCAGAGAGAGACTGTTGTACTTCTTACTGACTCTAAAGTTGTTAACTTGAAATGTGGATTCTACCTCACACGTACTGGCCAAGTACTTGTCCCGGTAGGATGTCGGCTCTCGGGAATCTCGTGTTGTCCTGAAACGTTGCGGTCTGTGGTGGACAGTTAGCAATACGGGCGATTATTGGAGTTTCTTATCCGGCGACGCCGTTGTTTGACGTAGCTACTCGGTTTTCTCTGAATCGCCCTCGAGCGTACTCCGGCTTTGCAATCTCTACGTCGACGGAGCGGTTTTCGGCACTATAGCGCGGTGGTTTGACGTTTGGATTGGAACTCGGGGCGAAATTTGAAGTTTGCTCGCAGTCTTCATACATCATAATTAAAGAAAACGCCATGAACTAGCGACCATCAACATGGCACTATTCTCAGTACTCACATATCTGAACAAGCTACGAAAGATGTATCTACACTGTCAGTTATGCTGGCAAGTATCAAATTTATCAACCTGACTAAATTTTCTGACCTGCATAGTTGGCATCATTTAAATATACACTCAGTTTAGCCTGTAGATCTAAAGAGTGCAGATGGCCGATATTGGAATCCGAATAAGAAATTCATTACGGACAATCACAGGAATGTGTAAACTGCAACGTAAATTTTTATTAATTCCGTGTCATGCGGACTCAGCGGTAAACTGCTGTAGGTGGTGCCCCCTAAAAATGGCAAAACTATTAATAGATTTAAATTATTGGTCTTTTAATTTTAGCAACCTAAAAAGGATGCAGGGTCTTGTTAGCCGGCATCCAGCAATAAAATTTAGCGTGGTAACTTTTCTACTCGGTAATAGGAGGCAGTTCTAGCGGTGGCTTTGTTGCCAATAATAACTGCCAAATAAATGTATTGCATTTAATTATATAATTGAAGAGTTATATGTTTATTTAATAAAATTGTTGGAACCTCAAGGGGTAGTTGATACGAAATTTATTTAAAAAAAACAACAAATCATCAATCAATGAGAGATAAGATAATGCGTTCGCTACTGATGTTACAATTGTTGACAAATTTTTTTGTTTTTCGACTTCCGACCTTTTGCACTCAACGCAGAACTGACAACCTGAATCAGGGGTGTGGGGGAGATTTTTTAAATTATTGTTTCGATTCAACTCACCGTTTTCGAGTTATAAAGACCATTTTTACTGTATCGATTCACACCTCTTCTCTCCGAAATTTATTTTCGATATATCGACTTCGGACCTTTTGCATTCAACGCAGAAGGGACATACAGAATCCGAGGGGTCGGGGAGATTTTTTGAATTATTTTTTCGATTCAACGCACCATTTCCGAGTTATACGGCCTTTTTACTATATGACGTCACACCTCTCTTGTTCCAAAATTCATTTTCGACATACGGACTTCGGACCTTTTGCATACAACGCAGAACGGACAATCAGCACCAGGGGGGTAGGGGAGATTTTGTTAACGACGCACCGTTTCCGAGTAATAAACACTTTTTTATTCTATGATGTCACACACCGTTGGTCTCGGATTTTTTTTTCGACATGCGGACTTCGGACGTTTTTCACTCGATCACCAATCAGAACCATAGGAGATTATTTAATATTTCGAGTCATTTCCGAGGTACAAGCAAATACTGTTTTTTTTTCTTTCATATATTATGACACCCCGCTTTACCTCACCCACCGAATGCTCTACTCAGAACCAAAGGGAGATTTGTTCATATTTCCAGCCATTTCCGAGTTACGAGTAGGATTGCCAGATCTCCGGGTTTGACCCAGTTTGTTTGTTGCGGAAAGAACATTTCCTGATTCGTAAGATCTGCCGTCTCGAAGAAGATATTTCCTGATTGCGGCGTCCTTTTTAGACATCGATTTCTTCGAAATCAACAATTTATATATTTTTTTAGGCGTCATAGTTATATCTCCGGGTCTGTCATGAAATAGATCTGGTAACCCTAGTTACGAGCAAAAATCGTTTATTTTCTTATACGTTGTGACGTCATAGCTCGATGACGAAGGCTGAAAAGGTCACACACTCTACCCCACGCTCCTTCCCTAGGTGTCCTGAATATGCTGGAGAAGCCCCAGAGACTCCTGAAGCAGCAAAGGGAGAAAAACTCTCTATGAGGACCAAGTCACTCTATCTCTATCGCAAACGAAAAACGAACATTTTTTAAAAAATACGTGGCATTTATCATTATCAAAGTAACACATTAAATTAATTAAAAAATTAAAAAAAATTATAACGGGTTATTCTGATGACTAAAAATAAAAGATAATTAAACTGTATTATTCAAATAACAATAATGTGCAAAAGTTCTTCTATCGCAAACGATAGAAACAAACCTTTCTTTAAAAATACGTGGGATTTATCATTATCAGAATAACCTATTTTAATTTAAAAAATTTAAAAAAAATTAAAAAGAACACTAAAAAATATTATTAGAAACCTTAGGTGGCCAGAAAACAGCCCCGATCTCAGTCCTATAAACATATTTTTGTGGGGACACTTCAACAAAATATATTATTAGACCTTAAAATTTAAAAATTTTGAAATAAAGGACGAAATGTTTGATAATTCTGAATTTGTTTTTAAAGCAATAAACATAAATTAAAGCATATTTTCAACAGTATCATCACAGTTACTTGCATGTTGAAAAATTGTAAAAATTGCAGGTATTTTAATGTTTTTTCGTTTTTAGGTATTCTCCTTATGTTGTAAAGGTTATTTATCAAAATCGTTGTTTGTTATTTCAAATAAGGATGAATTTTAATTTTTTTTAATGATTTTTTTTACTTTAAACATATTTTTTCTATTATTAAAACTATAAGTGGATGTCAAAATAAAAAAAACATTTACCTACATTCCGCAAAGTATATACTAATAACCCACGCGCCGTTATATTAGGCGTTAAACGCGGCCTCGATAATTTGGGACCGAGGGGGACTATCCCTCTTTGTCCTGCCTTATCTCTGTAGGCTGGGCAGCCTCATGAAGGTGGGCCCCGTCCATCGTCTACCTCGACCACAAGCATGGCCGGTATAGGCGCTTTGCGGAACCTCCTCTTGCCCTGGCTGGCCCCCGCCGGCAGGGGAGCCTCTTCGGGCGTTCTTCGTGTCTTGATTTTTCTTTTTTCGCCGGTTTGTCTAGTCATCGTAAGGAGTGAGTTTTTGGGAATAGTTTGTAGCTAGGAAATGCACGCGGCCTCTGAGTCAGTGACTTACAGGCCGGTGCGTGGATATAGGTCGCCTGTATGTGTCTGTCACGTCAGCTACGTAGTGAACGGCTTGTCTAAGGAGGGGGTTGTCGTGTCTCGCGGCCACGTCCATGTATTTTTGGGTGTGTACGTATTGTCTGTGTCGCGTTAGCGTATTTTGAGTCTCGTAAAATACTGTTGTTTCTTACGTACCAGGGCGAGGCGGTTAATAACCCACCTTTTATATTAAATAAATTTATCGTCGTCAAATATTNTACATTCCGCGACGTACTAATAACCCACCTTGCATATTAAATAAATTTATCGTCATCATCAAATATTAAATATATATATATTGCAAGCTGTTTAAAATATTACGATTTTGTTTATTTGGAAATATATTTTCTGCAGTATTTCAATACCAAAAAATGAAAATAGTAGCTAATTAACGAAATTATGATTAAATAACCTAACTGTGATAGGTTAGATATTCGTTGATTCTTTAAAACATTGTTATCAGTACCTACATCATACATTTAAGTAAATACAGTAACGCAAAGAACAGATATTCATAAAAATGTGTACAAAATAAATCTGTAAGTACGCCTGGCAACATTGCCAAAGTGTTGTTTATATGTTGGTAGGATAGCATAGGAATGCCGGATGCTGCATTTGCATTCCTAAAATTCTGCTGGTGGTATACTCTATCGGCAATTCGGAAATTTAGCTGGTGGGCTATTCCACTAGCGGTCTGGGCGATAGCTATTTTGTCTGTGCTATTGCTTTCGGAATAAGGTATAAATCGCAGTATTTTTGCGCAAGGAAATTACTATGTACCATTACATAAGGCCCACCCTGTGCATTTATTATATAATGAATATATGGTTTTAGTTAACTGGACACTCTCTTGAATATAGTAACAAATTCGAGTTAGATGAGGTTGTAGTTCGACTTAAATTGGCTAAGGAATCTGCAACTGGATCAGTGATTAATTTAATAAACTCCATCTGTACCTTAAGATCATCTAATTGGGGATATTCAGTTGAGTCATCCAATGAGTAAGTTTAAATTAATTAATACAGTATTTGGAGAGATGAATTAATTGTACTTATTTATAATAATTATTATAATTTAAACAAGTATTTCTTTTAAACTGTCCCATATATTTTATTAATTCAATTAATTAATTACTATTGTATTATCCATAAATGTATGTATTGGGGTAAGAACTGACCATTCATTGTTGCTAAAACAACCTATAAAGTATGCAAATTAAGGAACTGCGTGTGCTTGCGATTTTTGGTCGTTAATATTTAAAAATTATGCATTTCCAATTTTCAGTAAAAAAAAATTGCCTGAAATTCAGAAGTGCCTGGTACTGCTATCATGATCTTTTTATTGCAACGACTGAAAATCGCAATTGCACATAGGGTCCCAAGTTTTGGAAAATTGCATTTCACACTCGGGGCACAAATTTGATCTGGTTTTAATATTTAAACTTAAAAACGCTACCATGTTTTTATAATAATACGAGTATGTTTTATATTACTGTGGGGACACACATCTCCTGCGTCACTGTTTTCATGTATATAATAAAGTAATACTTATTATCTTGAATGTTTGTCGCATTGTACATTTAAATACATTTTCCTGCATTAAGAGTATTTGTCGGTGCAATTAAAACATCCTAATCCATTAATAGCCCTAATCCATGGACAATGACCAAAAACATTGACATTCACGTGGGCAGGTAATTTTTGGGATATAAATGTGAAATAACGTGTAGTGATGTAGCACTCTTCTCGTCGCACCGTTGCAGAGTATAGTTTGCGATATCATCAATTTCTTTTTATACATCGTCACGTTTTCTTAATACTTAGTTCCAAAACAAATTAATTGTTGTGTTGCTTGGTGTAAGTTTATTTTAGTGGTGACCCCGACGTGATTAGAAGAAACAAAGGACCGACGCTGTTAGTGACTCGCTACTATGAATATTGCATCTAATAACAAATCGAATCTACCGTCGGTGGATCACGTTTCTGTGAAGGTGCCTCCGTCCATTCCATCAGACCCGGAGCAGTGTTTTACATTATTGGAAAGCAATTTCGATGCCGCGGGCATAATTTGGTACCGTACAAAATGCCGTAAGTAGCCTCGACCCAAGGTACGCTGTGGAAATGCGCGATATCTTATATACTATTAAAAAGTGAACTCATTAAAAGAATGGGTTCATCTCGAAAGCAGAATACGCGTCGACTGTTAAAAAATGAGCCTCGGTGATAGGAAACTATCACAATTCCCCCGTCACTTCCGTGGACTCGCAGGGACAACATTTCCCGAAGAAGTGTTATAGATTTTGTGGTTAGGTCGACTACCTAAACAAATACAAGTCATACTCGCAGGGCATACAGGCTAGACAAAAGAGCGGAAATTACGGATTCGTTAGCGGATGTGGATGGCCCACTCGCTGAAATGTCCGAAACGACCACTAGTGTAGTTTCTGTAAATAAAAGTTAAGAGGTCGGAACAACTAACAGCGACGTTATGTAAGGCCGAGGACGCGCTCGCGATCAAGGTCCCGAGACAAAAGATACGAAGGTAACAGCATGTGTTGGTACCACTGAAACTTCGGCCCAGAAGTTAATAAGTATCGAAAACCATTCAATTTCAACGCGAAAAACGAGAGGGGCAATCGTTGATGGCGACAGACGTCATTAGCCCAACGAAATCAGTCGCTTGTTAGCTACGGATAAACACTCTAAACAAAAATTGTTGATAGACTGGTGCAGTTCTGTGTGTATCCGATCTCTCGCTTGCCGAAACTGCGAGAGAAATCTGCCTACGAATTTCCATGGTGAACGGCATAGTGATTAACATATATGGCACCCTCAATCTTTCATTAAACCTTGGACAGCGGCGACAATTTACATAGAAATTCGTAGTGGCTGACGTGGCCAAACTTATAATAGGCGGTGACTTTCCAGCAATTATGGATTACTCGTAGACATTCAGAATAGGCTACTATACTGGAAGTGCTGCATCGATTCCCGGAAATTACGCACCATAAGGAATACCCGAAGTGTTAACCATAGTACCAGATATCATATAATTACACCGGACCCGTCAGTTGCTCAACGACCACGACGTCTTGCATCAGATAAGTTAAAAATTGCGAAACGCGAGTTCGAAACCATGGCGCGTATGTGTATCGCCTTTCCATCACTAAGTTCCTGGGCATCACGCGAGGATTTCCCGCGATCGATACCCAGTTAGGATATCCAATATTTTTCTCAGGCCCTTCAAGATAGTAGTAGTAGTAGTAAAGGGGCGGCCTCAGCCTGGCAATTAGGCCTCAAGTGGGCCCTTTTTGCCTACCACGTCGTCCCATCACCTAACCACTCTCTGCCTCTGACCTTCCTCGAATCTACCGATGAATGAACGCCAGGATTTTGGTCCATGGAAGGTCTCTCACCTCAACCCCTTGCAGCTCTTCAGCACCAAAGACTTTATGTCTTATTCTCCCAAAGGCTGCACACTGTCCCAGAAGGTGGACAGGGGTGTCCTCCCCTTCGCCACATTTCAGGCATAGAGGGTCCTCAATTCCTATTAAGCTTAAATGCCTCCGTGGCCTGTCAGAACTCCCACCATTTGGTTTAGGGCTCTTCGACTGAGGCTCAGCAGCCATCTTGTCTTGGATTTGCTAGGTCCATGCATAAAACTGGGCCTGCCTACATCCTCTATTTCTCCTCCAATCCTGACCTAATGTTTGATAGGCCCATTTATTGAGGGCCCCATTAATGCTGCCTCGTGTGATACCTAAGCTTGGTTCAGGTCCCTGTCCAGGTCCCCTGGACCCGAGACGAGCTAATTGATCCGCCCTCTCGTTACCAGGGATGCCCATATGGCCTGGGACCCAAACCAACTCTACTTCTCTTCGTCTGGCCAATGACTAGAGCGTCTCCACATTCCTGGACAAGGGCAGACCTAGTCCTCGGGGAGCTAACCGCTCTGAGCGCGGCCTGACTGTCGGAGCAGATAAAAATCTTCTCTGCACAATTCCTTACCTCCTCCTTGCTTGCTACCATCAAAATAGCAAAAACCTCGGCCTGGAAGACTGTAGCATACATACCCAGTGAAAAGCTTTCTTGGATGCCGCTGCCTTCCAGATAAATTCCTGCTCCTGAAAACTCGTCTTCTACCCGAGATTCATCAGTATAGTACACTAGGGATCGCGGAGAGAACATATCACCATCCTGCTTCCACTGCTCTCTCGAGGGGAAAGTGGTGACATACTTCCTTCCTAACCTAAGCCGGTCCTCAGCTTCCGTAACTCTCATGGCGGATATTGGGATGTCCCTCTCCGCCCTGAGGGCCACGGCAGCATGGCCCTCAGTGCGTCCTTTCGCTCTCCAACTGCCTGCGTCCCTTATCCTAAGGTATGCCGCCATCGCCTCCCTCATAATCCATGTAGGAAGGATCGGCAGCCCCAGAAGGATCTCTAACGCGGCCGTTGGGGTCCTCCTCATTGCCCCTGTAATACCTAAGCAGGCAAGTCTCTGGATTCTCACCAACTTCCTGGCTACCGTCACCCGGCCCACACACGGCCACCAGACCAAGGCCCCATACTGTAGCCTCGGCCTGACCACCGCCGTGTACACCCAGTGAAGCACCCTTGGATTGAGTCCCCAGTTTTTGCCAACTACCTTCCTTAACTACCAGAGGGTTGCCACTGATTTCCGGGTAATCCTCTCAACCTGTGGCCCCCACGACAGTTTACCCCCAAGTATTTGACTTCCCTGACCAAAGTCAGGGGCCTCCCATACATGGTTGGAGCCCTGAAATCACCTATCTTCCTTCTCCTTGTAAATAGGATCATTTCAGTCTTCTTTGAGTTGACTGAGAGCCCCATCTCCTCGCACCACCTCTCTATGATCCTACAGGCTCCCTGCATGCTGTCGCATACCACGTCCAAAAACCGGCCCGCGACTAGAATCACGCCATCATCGGCGTAAGCCTGGGCATCACTGTAACCCTCCGAGGTTAGGCGTTCCAGGAGACCGTCCATTACTAGGCACCATAGAAGCGGGGAGAGGCAGCTGCCTTGAGGGCATCCCCCTCCCACTCCCAGGTCCCTACGACAGTCCCCCATGACTGCACTAACCTTCCTTTTCTTCAATGCCGAACTCACCCACTCGACCACGATAGGCGATGTGCCCCGGTCTTGGAGCGAGTTGCATATGGTCCCAGTTTTTGCCTTGTCGAAGGCGCCTTATATATCAAAGAATATTGCCAATACGACCTCTTTGTACTGAAGGGCCTTCTCTACTTTATGTGTGACACTATGTAAGGCCGTCTCTGTGGACCTGCCCCGCCTATATGCGTGCTGGTTCGTGTGGATTGGGTATCTACTCAACGCCCCATCCACCAGATACCTGTCCACAATCCTTTCAATCGTTTTAAACAGAAAGGATGTGAGACTAATAGGTCTAAAAGACTTCGCCGAAGTTCTTTCCCAGCCTTGGGGATGAAGACCACCTTGGCTGACCTCCAAGCCTGTGGGACGTAGCCCATCGCCAGACTGGCCCTGAAGACCCTCATCAAGGGAATGTCCAGGCCCCTCTGCAACAACGACGGGAAAACTCCGTCCGGCCCCGCTGCCTTGTAGGGATCGAACTCATTCACTGCTTAGGTTACTGCCTCGTCGCCAATGAGCTCCTCGATCAGGAGCCAATCTGCTTGTGGCATTGGCTCCGCCCTGGTGCCCTCGACGACATGGCTTCCACCTGCAAAATGAGTTTCCAGCAGAAGTTCCAAACACTCCTTGCTTGAAGTGGTCCAAGTCCCATCTTCCCTCTTTAATGATCCTAATTTCTCCCTTTTGTCGCAGCTTAAGATCTTCATTAATCTGGCTGTCTCCGGCAGGGACTCCAGCTCACTGCAGTATGCCTTCCAGCCAGATCTCTTACTGCGCCTAAGTTCCTTCTTAAACTCTCTCCTTGCAGTTTTGTAATGGTCCCAAGAGGCCCCTTCCCCTTCCCTGACAGCTCGGTTGAAGAGCCGCCTGGCCGTCTGGCGGAGACCCTCTAGGGTCTTATTCCACCAGCGGACCTTGCGCCCACCTGCCGCCCTGAGAGGGCAAGCCTCCTCATATGCCGAGACGATGCAACTGCTCAGGGTTTCTACCTCGTTGTCTAACTGCCTTGTGGAGATTATTCGTTCACCCCGGTTGCTCGCTTCTAGGGAGCTCCCTAGGTTACCACGGTATGCCTCCCAGTTTGTTGCCCTTGGATTTCGTCGGAGAGTCATCGTTTCCGAATCCGACTTCATCTCGAAAGCGATCATCCTGTGATTGGACATCGAGATGCAGTCCGTGACCCTCCATCCAGAAATCCCTTCTGTAATACTTTGAGAAGCCAACGTAATGTCAATCACATCTTTCCGGATGCGGTTCACAAAAGTCGGCTCCTTTCCCCTATTCATGACCTGCAGGTCTGTGGTTGCTATATATTCCAGCAACGCCTCCCCACGGGAGTTAGCATCCCCGCTGCCCCATACCGTGTGGTGAGCATTTGCATCACACCCAATCATTACCACCTTATTACCAGGCAGACCTTTATTCTCAGCAAAATTAACTATATTTTCTCTTTAGTAGGCGGTAGTCTACCAGTATCATAAAGGAGGTATATGCTACTAACCTTACGCCTAATTCCACTTACCTTATATTCGAGGATGGCTGCATCCCTGGTCCCCATTTGTAGTGATACCATCCGGAATTCCTTGGACGCCATTAGGTCCGAGGTGGCTCGGCTCCATCCTCCTTCCCGACTATGCAATTGTAGGCGGTACAGCCCCACTACTCGATTCCTGTAAACATAAGGTTCCTGGATTAAAATTTAATTCTCCTGTCTTACCTGTTAGTAGCTTCACCAGTTCCCCGGTGGCTGACTGTGCTGGAGATTAATTTGCCTCACTTGCAATGTATTCATCTTGGGGCCTGATGGTGCAGTGGGGGGGCTTACGTCCTTGGTCGGCCCGGGTTCCCCCGGCGCCTTGGGTGGCTGGTGGACCGCTCCGCTCCAAGTCGGCATCCGGCGCACCGCCAGAGTAACCAACTCGAAGTAGAGGACCCACCCGGCCTCCTCTAGGCGCCTGGATATGTCCTGGCCAACCATAAAGGTCAGATGCCACCCCCAGGTCCTCCTGTCGTCTCTAGATGCTACCATCTTCCAACCTCTAGGGAGCGATTTTGAAGTTCCAGCATCGCACTTAGGGAAGGTTGACTTCTGGGCTTCTCAGCCAGAAACCAACCTTCTCTGGCCATGGTGCATCACTTGCCCGGATTGCCCGGTAAGCGACGTCTCCCTCGGCCAGAGGTACCCATCCTTCCAGGAGCCAGTCTCCTGAGGTCTCGTTCTGAGCCGTCACCAGGAACCAGCCCGGATCTACCAAGCCCGAGTTCCTGAAACGGAGTTCCGGTCCTCGAGGTCCCCCTTCGGGGCCCACCATGGTCCGAAAAATCTCAGAGACAAGATTTTCCCTCAGTCTTTGTCCTTCAGGGGGGGGGGGTGATCATACCACCCTCACGATTGGATAATATGACCACCTGGTTTTCCTTCTTTTCTTTAGGTACTCTCTCATCGGCCCTCCGTGGCGGCGCCGCCACCGCTTTCCCTCTTAACAAGGGAGACACATGTGGTCCCCCCCCCCCCGGATAACGATGGGAAGGTCCTAACCCTCTTCCTCTCTCTCTGGCGGTGTTGTTTTGTCCGCCCTCGACCTTTTTTGGCTGGTCTGGGTCGAGGGGCCTGGCTGCCCTTTAGGACCTCCCGGCCCCCCTTCCCTGACCGCTGCTGGAGCAGAGAGAAGAACAAAGGACCGCCTCTTGGCTTCCCTCTTGTCCTCCCTCCACTTCCGCCTTGCCTGAGGGCCTCGAGGTTTTGCCGGCCTTCGATTGCTGGTTCCTTGGGATCCCTCTTTCGAGGTACTGGTCCCTGGTCCGCTATCCGTTGGTGCCGACATGGAGTGTTGGGTCTCGGATGGGCACGCTGGGCCTGATGTCCCTTGCAACCCTTTCCTGGCCTCCTTCACTTCCCTCCTTCTCTTTGCCCTAGCCTTATTCCTTTTCTCTCTCCTCTTTTCCTTTTGCCTGGTCTCTCTGTCGGCTGTATCCATGGAGTCACATTCCTGTGACCCCTCGGTCACCATCAGAGGACTTTAGTAGTTCATCCTCTCTCGAGGGTGAACCAGGCGAGGCAGGATTTGCCCGCTCTAACCCCTTCTCTGAGGGTGCTCGGTATTTTGATTTGTTGGTACGTTTACAATATTCTTTTCTTTGTCTTCCATGGGACTTTTTAGAAAGGGGTGTTTTCTCTGTAGTGATGTTTTTGCTTGGTACAATGAAACCTCACGAAAATCCAAGTCCCTACTTCCACTGTTCAGCCATGGTTGAACGTTTTCCCAGAGAGAAGGGTCTGGCAGCCGCTGGTGAAGCCCCCTGGAGCGTGCAGCAGGGCCCTTATCCAGGCGCCACCTGGCACTACTACACGCTCCGGGATTATACACCTGATGATGAGGCAGCCCCCTACGCCGGCTAGGCAAGGGTGGGCCTCTATACTGTCAGGCGGCATTAGGTGCACCATCCCTAGCTTCTTTCACCGCTACCTCTCCAGATTACCTCTTTACTGGGGTCCAGCCTCGGTATTTCGCAGCGGAAGGGTGGGGGAGTTGGAATGACCGTGCCCGAACGTGTAAGAATGTGTGTATACATGTGTGTGTGTGTGTTGAGTGTTGCGTATTTCGTGATGAATGGTGTTGTGAGTGTAGTGGCGTGTTGGTGTGTGTGCGGTATCTGTTAGTCAGGCATCTCATCCAAGACCCTTCCGACATGGGAGACCCTTCTGGCAAATTTCCGTCGGCATGGCCCTCAGACTCATTGATGCACGCAAGCCCCTTCACCACGACAAGGTAGATACATGAAGGAGGGCCCTTCAAGATAAAACAGTGTTCAGTAGTATTGGTTTAGTGCGCGCCTTTAACCAAATTCTGGTAGCAGAAAAGGACATTCCAAAAACCGCGATTACTACGCAATTTGGACTATTTGAATTTAGTTTTATGACGTTTGGATTACGCAACTCTGCGCAGAATTTCCAGCGGTTTGTCGATATGTGCTGCAAGGCTTAGACCTCTGTTTCGCCTACATAGATGATATTCTAGTGGCTTCACGTCACCTAATGAACATTTGCGACACCTCGAATTGTTGTTTTAAATCCTTAAAACATACAGTATTGTAGTAAATTCCGCGAAGTGTATCGTTCCCTTGTTCCCGAAAACGGCACGAGGCCACTACCTGAAAAATTAGTTACTCCGTTGCTTCCCCCATCCAGATACCGTGAAAAAGCTGCGATAATTTTTGGGAATATTATTTCTTTAGGAAATTTTTGCCCAATGCAGCATGAACTCAATAAAATAATTTTTTCAAGAAAAGCATGGACAGCTGGAATAAAGCCTAGTAGAGAACTGAAGTGAAAATTGGGTGATCATTTTTTATCTTGTAGTTTCTTCATGACTAGAAGATATTATCAGCCAATTTTCATGTTCCTATTTTTTTTAGCTATAAAAATTTATGTTGTAGAATCCATTATCTAGTATTATGTAGTAACTAAATTATAAATCTTTATTTTCCTCTAATAATGTAGCCCAATTTGTTTTAGTGTAGATGATATGTCAGACATATTTTATTCTGCGGAACTTGTTAACACAACGTTCTATCGCACTGATGGAGATGCATTCACTAATGAAGAGAGAGAATTTTTGACAGCTCATTTAGACTCAAATATAGAATATTTGAGGTAAGCCATACAATTCAGTACCTTATTAAGTATAATAATTATTTTTTTTAGTGATAATTCTGATCCAGATGATTTATGTGATCCAGAACCTGAAATGGATGCAGAAATTCAAGAAGCTTTTAAAGAATTTATACAACTTAGTAAACATTAAATTATTTCAGTTTAATTTTTCATGTTTTGATATATTGTGTTTTTGCTTAACTGTAATGTTTACAAATAATATTCATACTAAGCATTTTTGTTATACAAAATTTTTACCTGAACTCTAATCTAATATCTAATTACTAGACTCTGAATTTCGTGTCCAACATGCGAGAGGACTTTTTATTTAATGAAATGTGATATAATGAATAGTAAAAATAAAGCACCACAGTCTTTGTAAAATGTTATTTTTCTATATTGGTGTTACTCGCAAATTATAATGGGGGGACCAAGATCCAGACATGCTACATGGTGCACAAAATGAAGTAAGGCTTTACTAAAACGACTACTCAAAGATTTCCTCAAAAATTATATGGAGGGTTACAAACATCCCCTAAATCATTGATTGATACAAATATTCATTTGAGAAATTTGAAAATTTCTGTCTTATTAATTTAGAAAAGGTTTTAGATTAAACTTCTAGGAAGAGAAATTATATATTTTTATCAATTTTGTCACTTTTTTTCCCCTCATTTTTGTGACTTAGTTAAACCAAATTTCTTATTTCAAGGGTATTTAGATTGATACAAATTGTGTCTTCAAACATTTAATCATATAGTTGAAACATAAACAAAATGTCGATCAACAAAACTTCTAACATAATAAAAGCATTATAAAATAATACTAGGATACAGGACTTCCGTCTTCATTTTTATTGCGGCGTCGGCGAGACGTTACAGTTTGCTCCAATAATTTTGAAGAATAAAAATCATTTTGTTTCATTTCATATACCGAAAATGTTTTTTTTGATCGACATTGTTTAATTACTTTGAACCAGTACATATCTTACCCTATTCTTAGCATATTGCTCTGTTACCAAAATCTCGATCATTTGGTAGAAATGAATGACCGGAAACTGTAAATTTTTGGTCTATTGTACTGTATCTGCTAAGAGTATAAGCCAAAACAAACGCTCCTTGAAACTGCGGTTTTGTCTACCACAAGCATCGCTGTAGACAATAATATGATTTGATCGACTCGCATATTTTGAGATATGTTTACGTATACATCTTATTTCTTGAGCTCCCCGTGATGCCCCGCAATTTCGTCCCAAACATACATAAAACCTGTTTCCTCTTCACCTAGTTCATGTATGCCTAGGTTGTACACATTTCTTTTATAATAGGCAGTAAAGGAACTTAATGTTAGATATGGTAAAGCCTTCTCTAAATCAAAGGTAAATCCATAAACTTTGCCTTTATTGAGTGATATACACTTATCATTAAACAAACTTTTTCTTGCATTTCAGCTTCATGCAAGTGCAAAGTGTACTGAGTACCTATTTAAATTACGTGTTTCCTGTTCATCCGGCTCGCATTCCAGTTTGGCTTTAAACAAATCGCATTTTACACAAGTATATTTTGATGGAATATGAAAATGAAGATTAAAATTGTGATGGTATTCCGCTACATTCCTTCTGAAACAGGAGAAATATGTCCCTCAGAACATTTTTCTTTGTACAGGTTGTACATTAGCCTTAAGTTTAATTTTGAGTCGAGATATTCTCTGTTTGGATTGTGAGTTCGTGTGTAATGAGGCTGATATGCAGGAAAACTATTTATATGGGCATGAACATATTGTATTTTTTCTTCTCCTGGTGTCTTATTTACTGGTGTATATCTCCCTCGCAAATCTTTACCAGGGGATGAAAGACGCGCACGTTTGTGAGCGTGTTGTAAGCGCCCATTTGATATTTTAAATGTCTATAAAGTAATCTTTATAGACATTTTGTGAAATATGCCCAACGTTTACATAATACAAATTTGTTGTACTTTTTTCAGCTCTAGTTTGGTTTCGGGGACGATGAACCTTGACTTCGTTTTTTTTAACTAAACCATAAAAAAGTATTTTGTGAAGAAAAATTACCCATTTTCTAGAAAAGTCGAAAAACTCGCTTTCTATCTTCCTCCGTTATTCTGTCGAAGCATTTTTTCTTACAGCTGTAATTTGAATTGATAAACGTCTTAGCCGGTACAATATATCTTGCAGTAGGTACCTACTTATGTATTCATTCTTCTCCTAAATTTTGATTTCTTTTTCGATTCGACATTAAATGTTTTCTGGTTCCCTAAAACGCTTTCGTCCTTCCGATTCGGGTTCCAGATCTCTAGTGGGAAAAGTAGGGTTATAATAATTATATACTTTAAAATATTACGATATTAATACCAGAACACAGAATTATATAATCCTATTCTGTGACCAGAACTAGATAATTCAGAGTTTACAGGGTCCTCGGGTTCATACGTCACTTTTCACTAGCACTGAATGACTTTTTCAGACTCTTTGCTAGAACTAGAGGTAACGTTTACTAACAATATCACTATTATCTGCTTCTAGTATATCATCGATAAGTGGAAAATAGACACTGTTTATCCTCAGGAATTTAATTTTTCTGGTATTCTTGTCTAAAATACTCAAAATTTGCCCAACGAAGTGAATTTTAACATTTTTTACCTTAAACAAAACATACACAAGCTGAAAATCTTCACCTAATTCTTCTCCATTAAATTCTTTAACATCTTGAAACTCATCACTTATATCTTCATCTGAGTTGTCATGAAATGATATCTCATACTAGAAGAGGAATCTGTGTAGATTTTCGGTTGAAGGAAATTTGATCAATCAAATCTTATAGCAACAAATAGCAACATGTAAAAAATTTGAGACAAATTTTGCCCGATCCCCCTCCCCTGCTCGGGACGGCCCATAACAAACTTTTTTAAGCACTTTTCACGTTAATTACAATGTATATTGATATGATGACATATAAAAATTCATAATGGTACATGTGCCCATTTTAGCCATTCAAGACAAATTTTTTGAATTTTATTAAGGTAATGTAATGAATTGCTTAAGGCGGCGATTTCTGCCACCAGGGATTTTTTGGCGCTAGCATCACTTAAAATTATTAAATTGCAATATATAGCTAAGATAAGAATCTCGCTGTACAGCGGTAGTATAATATAAGTATGACTTTTGAATAAAAGGTGTCACAGGCATATCGTGGAATTAATCTCAACTCGTAATACCGAATATATATTAGACCGATCAAAAAAACTCATTTAGACGGAAAAAAAATAAAATTGTTACCTAGACTTTTATAAGTGGAAATGGTAAAGGAGCTTATAATAAACGAAAAAAAGTATCGAAATATAATTAATATTTTTAAATTTTTCAAAAATGTGCTTTTTTTGGCTTGCCAGAATATAGCAATGTTACCATTTTTAACGTTAGATATTTTTGAATACAGCAATCCTTTTTTAATTGTTATCTACATATACGTTTGGATTTGATAGATTAGCAGACAGGTAAAAATGGACCACTGCAAAAAAATTGCCCCGAGCTAAACCTTGTAAAACTTAAACGTATACATTTTAAATTTAAAAGCAAATAGGTACCTTAGACCGATCGAAATAACTCATTTTTAGGAGAAAAAAAAAAAATTGTTACCTGGACCTTTATAAGTGGAAATGGTAAAGGGGCTTATAATAAACGTAAAAAAAATAAATGCGTGAGCAGGGGCGGCGGAGGGTTGATTTGGGGGGTTGAAAAGGGGTGAAAAATGGTATCATTGAGATTTCTGGCGAAAGTTGATGTCAAACAAAAAAGTATCCAATACAAAAGTTATAGATCATGAAAAAATCTACAACTCTTGTAGAGGGCACTTTTGAAGATAACCTCAAAATTTCCGAGAAAAATGCGAAAAACAGGTTTTTTTCTTTTTTTTCGTTTTTTATTTCTCATTTCCGCAAAAATAATTTAATTTTGACGAAACTTGGTGAAAGTATACTTTCCTGTGTCTTAAATAACCACAATTTTTTTTAGATAAAAAAATCAAGAAGTTTCCGAGATATTCATATTTTCCGGTCTGAAACACTTTTTTTTCAAAGAAAAATTCTACTTAAAAAAATCATCGTACAGAGTTCTGCCGGTAATCATTTTTTTCGTTTTGACATATACTTTTTGGTGAAATAAAAAAAATTGGAATCGCAGTTCAAAAACATGCTCAAAAATGCAAAAAAGAAAAATGACTCTTGCAGAAATGAGTTTTTCAGTAATTATTGTTGATAGTTTGTTTAAATTTAAAGAAAATTCAAAAACTGATTACACCTTTCGATTGTACGGAAAAAATACAAAAGAAACTGTGTCTCATTGTTTGACCCGAAATTTTATTTTTGTACAGTATTGCTATAAACATAATTTTTTTTTTCGTAGGATCGATTAATGTACTTATTTTTTTTAACTTTGAATTGAATTCATAGATGTATAAGCGACTCTTTAATTAAATTATGTAAAATTCAGATTTTTGCTTTCAAAATTTAAAAAATATTTACAAAGGATATTTACAGTTAATAATACTAGGCGAATCTTGGTCTCCGCCGCCCCTGCTCACGCATTTATTTTTTTTACGTTTATTATAAGCCCCTTTACCATTTCCACTTATAAAAGTCCAGGTAACAATTTTTTTTTCTCTAAGTGTAATTTGGTTGGACTACTACCTATTTATTAACAAAAACTACTAAGAATGTAAATTTAAATGTTTTTAACAATTCTAATCAAACAATCTAAAATTTCAAAATATTGATTGAAGTCATATGTCGCATAACATAACCTATCTTTTTATGAATCAAATCTGGGCGGGCTGGCGCAAATAAATGTTCTTTGAGCTGGCGGGCATAAAGTGCTATGAGCAGGGTTGCCAGATAAATTTTTTCTATTGTCGTCAGCAGATGGAAATACAGTAGCCAAAAAGTCTGATTGAAAAAAAGTTCTTAAAAAATTATGTTATTTTTATAGGACTAAACATTATGAAAGAATATTTAAAAATCAGACATAAAAGAGTAACAAAATACGAATTGGACTGCAAAGAAAATAGTTTAACGCAGATTCGAATCAGAAATTTTATATTTTATCTTTAAACAAGTGACACTTTATACAAATAATTACTACTGTCGTATAAAAGTATAAAAATCGTTAGTTGCTATGTGAAATTTTGGCANTAACAAAATACAAATTGGACTGCAAAGAAAATATTTCAACGCAGATTCGAATCAGAAATTTTATATTTTATCTTTAAACAAGTGACACTTTATACAAATAATTACTACTGTCGTATAAAAGTATAAAAATCGTTATTTGCTATGTGAAATTTTGGCAGCCATTAGAGTACGGTGTCATGTCGC